AATTCATCCAGGGTTCAGGAAGGCCCCACGATTTCCCGATTCTCAAAAGGACTCAGCAGAGTTGTGTGTTGGGAGTCACTCCAGGGGACGTTTATGGACATCTGTGTCCTACACGCCAGCAATGCAATGACAATGTGACTTAGCCCCTATCCCTAAGGAGATTATCAATGACTGCCCTAGACTGCCACTTCTATTCTAAAATCTGTGATGTAACAACAAAGAATGTACTTATGCAGCATTTTACCCCGAAGAACAGGGTCTACTTTCATTATTTACGTATTTAGTTCAGCCTCTCCCCAACCTCACAAGGGCAAGTAAGTAACCATTCCCTGGAGTATGTAGACAGTCACTGAAATAGATGGGGAGACCCAGGAATGGTCCAGAAAAAAACACCAGGGCCAGGACATTCATGTGGTTCATTCGAGGGTACACCAGCCTAGGCTATATTCGAAATACTCCAGGCCAGATTCCAAAGCCCACTACTACAGAAGACCAGGCCATAGCCAAATTCTCAGGCTGAGACATTCAATTTTTTTTTTTTTTTTTTTTTTTTTGAGACGGAGTTTCACTCTTGTTACCCAGGCTGGAGTGCAATGGCGCGATCTCGGCTCACCGCAACCTCCGCCTCCTGGGTTCAGGCAATTCTCCTGCCTCAGCCTCCTGAGTAGCTGGAATTACAGGCACGCGCCACCATGCCCAGCTAATTTTTTGTATTTTTTTTTTTTTTTTAGTAGAGACGGGGTTTCACCGTGTTGACCAGGATGGTCTCGATCTCTTGACCTCGTGATCCACCCGCCTCGGCCTCCCAAAGTGCTGGGATTACAGGCGTGAGCCACCACACCCGGCCCAACATGCAGACTTTTTCTTGTCATTATTTCCTAAATAATACAGTATAAGGACTGTTTACATTGTATTAGTATTGTAAGTAGTCTTGAGATTATTTAAGATATAGAGGGTGATGTGCCTAGCTTACATGTAAATACTATGCCATTTTATATCAAGGACTTGAGCATCCATGGATTTTGGTATCCACGGGGTCCTGGAACTAATCCCCATAGTTACTGAGGGAAGACTGTATATCTTAAAATAGATATATTTATGTTTACATGTTGAAATTATGCTCTATATCCATTTTGTGTTCTTTTTATCCTTAACATCAGAATATGAACATTTTGAGATCCTACTTAGAAACCTTTTATATGCATCCTTTTTGTTGTTGTTTTTTGAGACGGAGTCTCGCTGCATCTGCTCCAGCCTCCCTGTTTCCTAACATCGCAGTTGTACGTTAGAGCACATCAGTTGTAGTATCAGCCCTGTCTGCACTAGTATTTCCTTCAGCCCCACCAACTCATCTGTGCTACAGGTGCTTGTTGGTGTGGCCCAAGTTTAAAGCACAGTATGTCACATCCTGCAGAGATTACATTTATGTTGTGTCAGAAATGGCATAGGGATTCATAAAATGACGTAGACTTTCAAAATTACTACCTTTTATTTTTTCGAGATGGAGTCTCGCCCTGTCACCCAGGCTAGAGTGCAGTGGTACAATCTCAGCTCACTGCAACCTCCGCCTCCCGGATTCAAATGATTCTCCTGCCTCAACTTCCCAAGCAGCTGGCGCCCACCACTTCGCCCAGCTAATTTTTTTAAAATGTATTTGTGGTAGAGACGGGATTTCACCATGTTGGCCAGCCTGGTCTTGAACTCCTGACCTTGTGATCCTCCTGCCTTGGCCTCCTAAAGTGCTGGGATTAATAGGTGTGAGCCATGGTGCCCGGCCAAAATTACTACATTATTTAAAATCAGTATATACCTTCCTTTTAGTCATCTTAAATTTGCGCTGGAGTTGAAAATTAAGTTTGAAATCTCATAAAAGCTATTGATTCTGCAGTGGTGTCCATCAGGGGGATAAATAGAATACATAACATGCTTGATTCACTCTGGAAATTTGTAGAGTCTACTGTGTGCCAAGACTTGATCCAGATAATGGAAATAGAGCATCCAATAAGAGTTAAGCCCCTCTCCTCATGGAATTTAGATTCTGTTGCGGGTGGGGTGGGGGAGACAGACAATATTAAAAATGAACCATTAAACATATAATGTATGATTTAAGTATTCTTGCTGTGAAGGAATGTATCACAGGGCAAGGGGCCAGTGAATGAATGATGGGTGCTCTTTAGGGTTATCAGGGAAGACCTCTCTGATAAATGACCTTGGAGCACACACCTGCAGGAAGGGATGGGGTGAGTGAGGTGTGGAGAAAGGGTGTGCCTGCAGGAGCAAAGGTTCTAGGGCAAAACAGTGAGGAGACTAGAGCAGAATGCCTGATGAGGAAGATGGCAGGAGTCAGACAGGCTGGAGATGGACCATGTGGCCTTGGTGTGGGAGCTGGCTCTGTCTTCTGAGTGAATTGGAAGGCACTGGAGGATTTGAGTCCAGGAATGTCAGCATCTGGCTTATTTGAATTATTATTTGTTTTATTATTTTATTAATTTTTGAGACAGAATCTCATTCAGTTGCCCAGGCTGGATGCAGTGCCACCACCTCAGCTCACTGCAACCTCCGCCTCCCAGGTTCAAGCGATTCTCATGCCTCAGCCTTCCCAGTAGCTGGGATTACAGGCACCCACCACCATGCTTGGCTAATTTTTGTATTTTAGTAGAAATGGGCTTTTACCATGTTGGCCAAGCTGGTCTCCAACTCCTGACCTCAAGTGATCTGCCCACCTCAGCCTCCCAAAATGCTGGGATTACAGGCATGAGCCACCACACCCAGCTTTGGCTTACTTTTTAAAAGGATCCCACTGGTTACTAGGTGTAGAATGGAAAGCAATGAGGCAAGGGTGAGAGTAGGGGATGTCCTTGAGGAGGAGGCTATTGCCTCCAGGGAAGAGGCAGGATAGGACTGAAAGGATTTCTTATGGATTTGATGTGGGGTTGCAGAGGAGAGGAATACTTACTTGTTTCCATTTCCCGACATAGTAAATATCACAGGATGAGTGGATGTGATACGAAGTTTTGGACATGTGAAGACTGCAGTCCCTGTTAGACATCTAGAGGCAATTTGATCAGGCAGTTGCAAATCTAAAGTCTAAGAGAAAGTTTGGTGACTTGGATATACATTCAGAGGCTACCAGCTTATAGTTGGTGTTTCAAACTGTAGGCTGAGTGATATTCCAAGAAAGAGAGGGTATACAGAGAAGAGGAAAATTTAGGGGAACTGAACCCAGAGGTCTCTAGACTCTAGACTCTAGAGGTCAGGAAATAAAGATGAGTGAGCAAAAATATTCAAGTACTTTATGGGCCAGTTTAAAAAATATGTGTATTTCTGTGTTTGCTTGATTACATTTAAAAAGTTTATTTTAAACATTTTAATGAGTCAGTATTTGGGGCAAAAGTTAAGTGATGAAATTGCACACAGGACACACTGTGCCGCAGTCGCCTCCTCTAACCCCGCCATCCCTTTCTCCATCCTTAGAGACAGCCACTTTTGACAGTTTAGCTTCAGTTTCTAGCAGTTACCTCCTGTGGAAGAGCTTAAATTCTTCTTTACCACATTTCAAAAAATCATAAAACATTTTATTTTGTTTTATGAAGGTAAAACTTCAATGTGGGAACCTTTTGATTGGATCAGAAGGATGAAGAAGTAGCTGGAGATGTTTGACCAAGTTACCAGGGACTTCCAGAGCTCATCCCGTGGAGCACAGACAGTAAGTCAAGACTGAGCATGGCAGACAGATCCAGCCCTGAGAATGTCTTTTTCATACCTGTCATTTCTTCCCAGTGAGGCGGTATGTGTGATGTAGGAAAGGCAAACACACACACACACACACACACACACATACACACCCCGTACCACACACACATGCACACACACACACAGAGAAAGATCTTTTTTTTTTTTTTGAGACGGAGTTTTGCTCGTTACCTAGGCTGGAATGCAATGGCATGATCTTGGCTCACTGCAACCTCTACCTCTTGCGTTCAAGCAATTCTCCTGCCTCAGCCTCCTGAGTAGCTGGGACTACAGGCGTGCACCACCATGCCCAACTAATTTTTGTATTTTTAGTAGAGACGGGGTTTCACTTTGTTGACCAGGATAGTCTCGATCTCTTGACCTCGTGACCCACCCGCCTCAGCCTCCCAAAGTGCTGGGATTATAGGCGTGAGCCACCGCCCCCGGCCGAGAAAGATATCTTATTCCTGTGCTGTGGCTGGGGGGCTGGCCTTGGTGTGGGTCAGGCAGGTGACCCATTACCTGTTCTAATTTTAGGGAATCTGCGAATGATCACAGCCCAACTGTTACTAACAGAGGAAAGGTCAGACTAGTGGGTCCATACCATAGTTTTAAAGTATCTGCTCCTTAAATTATCGCTGGGATATCACCAATCTCTATATTGCTGGGACATCAGATCAGAAATCTGTTCCTATTCTAAGAATGCTCTGTTTTGTATGAGTAGACAAGGGGTGTATTTCTATTGTCACAGCTATTTTGATGATTAATCTCTAGTAATAGCAAATGGGAAACATTGGCAAGAGAAGCAATTTGTTAAAATCTGTTTGATTTATTCATCAAATAAATTTATAGATTTCAAATTAATAGAATAACCTAAGGGCTTTTATTAATGGCACCAAAGTACCCATGGGTATAATAGATTTTCACTGATTTGCTTCAGAATACCTCAGCACTCACCCTCAATGAAGTTGCACATATGAACAAAATGAGCCTGTAAAGCCACACATAATTTTTGAAGCTAGATTATGGATACACATAAGGACTCATAATATTTTCTTTATTTTTGCTATGTTTGAACATTTCCGTAAGAAAAAGTTAAATGAAAAGGAGGAAAGTGTTAATAATAGACTATTAGGCTTTAAAGCAACCTCCAGGTTTTATTTACTTAGCCCATAATCTTTCCTTGGAATTCTGTCATGCCAGCAATGTTACCCATGAGATATAGCCTTATGAGCACTTTGAAATGAGAAATGTGATGGGCAAATATCAAGTATTGTTAATGATTTATGTAATTATTATAGGATTCATCACAGCTGCAGGTGGCTGCTTCTGTATACTCCCTCTTAGGAGGCGGGGAGGAGACCAGGAAAAGGTCCCCCTTAAGGTTCCTGGGTCTGCTGACCATCCTTGTCATAGGAACAGAGCTGTGAGGAGTCAGGAGCACTAGAGAACCCTGGTTTCAATGGATCCACATCCACTGCAGCGGCCCCAGTCTGCACCTGCTCAGTGTCGCTGCTGCTGACCGATTTGTTCAGGGAGCTGGAGAACATATGCTGGTCATTAAATAATGTCTTCTCTATGTTACTGCAAACTTTCTTTTGTGTAGTTGAGGCAACACTTTCAGTTGTGATGAGAGATTGAACAAAACAAGAAGGCATACAATTTTAAAGCTGGCAGGACCTTAAAAACACTGCCTAGTCCTCTCACTCAGCCATGAGTTACAGATGACTCCTTCAGATCTTGACAGGGCCCACAGGCCCTTGTCTAAGAACCTTCTTCTCTGGTTTGTTGCTTCTATGAGGCACATTCTGGTGATAACGGCCAACATCCATCAGCCTGGAGTTCTCTCAACTTTATTTCTGGTCTTCAAAGTCCATGGCCAATTGTCTCGAGGCCCAGAGAGCCATGGTTAGTCTAAGGTCGCTTTATAAATAAGGGTGATCCTGGTCCTGGATTCTGCCAGATTCCTAGAAAGATTGACAGTGAGTGTCATTTCTTGCTTGGGAAACCAGAATTCACAATGGTTTTCAATGGGGCAGTCCCATCAAATATATGAGAATTCAGCAACACTATTTCTTCAGAGTTGGAATGACTCAGTCCTAATTCAGTCTTAAATAAATAATGTACTGGACCTTTACTTAGGCCTGTTTAAGTGTTCTTTTTTTTGTTGTTTGTTTTTCTAACAATTCGCTCTCCTGACTGAGGGGACAATTAGGCCAGCGCGTTCTTCCCTGGAGCTACAGACTCTCGCATAGCTCATTTTCCACGGCCTTAGCCTTACTTTTACGAAGGAACAGTCTATCCAGGAAGGTGAATAAAAGTTTCCACCTCTTGCAGATTTGAATAGACAGATTTTCTTGCTTCTGTTCTTCTCATTTCATAGGCCTCAGAACCAAGGTCTGGTCAGAGTGGAGTCCAGGTGCTTCCTTATCACTCAGCAGTGTGTCTGCAAGGGGAGAATTCCCCTCAAGCACATAGTCTAGGGAACTCAACCCGAGATGCAAGGTGGGCTTCCTTCTTGCATATCTTACTCCTGGGAACTTTGCTTTCCCCCTGTGCAGCAACTCCTGACATATTGAAAAAAAAATTCCAACTTTGTTTTTAAAAGTCAAATACAGAGTATTTTAAACATGATTGAAATATATAAATTTATTTCCCCAAATTTATCCAAAACCAATTTATTGAACACCTACTATGTGTCAGGTATTAAGGGGAAAACCTTTCCTTTTCCTCTTATTGCCATAGATGACATGGGTCCCCCTTTTAACACAGCATCTCAACTATGACCTGAAGCTTTATGCCTGGGATGGATGCCTGTGAGATGAACATTCACTGAAGCAAAGATGAAATGTTTCACAATGGAAAGAGGCTAAGAATGAAGAAAAGGCTACAACATGACCAAAAAAATAGTGAGGCCATGGGCCAGAGGCCGTAGGGATTCCCTTGGGTCATCAAGATCAGCAAGGCCATCAAGATTCTTACTATTTAGTTGTCCAAATCTGGGATATCTTTTTTGTACTTGTTATTCATTTCTTATTCTGAAGACTTAGCCACAGTCATTACCATCTAAGTGAGGTTACATGAAAAGGTGAATCGTGCAAGCTTCGAACAGTATTACTGCTGATAACATGAGATCTAAACCATTGCAATGGCACAGCTGCCTCCCTAGGCAAACAGTGCAGTCATAAATAAGGGTAATCACCAACTATTGCAAGGGAGAGAGAAAAGGCAGCAGGAAAAAAAAAAACACCTGGTCAACTTGGGTAATACCCAATAAACCAGCCCCTGTGCCCTGCCTCCAGGACAGTAATATAACCAGTGTTTCGAGTCAGTCCTATATCACTGAGAGCAAAGCCAGCCTCTAGCTAGCCTGGAGAGGCAGGAATGAAAACCATGGAATGGCAGGGGAAGCTGATCAACATCAAGGCTATAGAAAAGAAATCCTATGACCTGGCTTGCTGATTTGTAAACACGATACTCCTAGGCTGAGAATTCCAGTTGATAATAATTGCATTACTGGTAACCTGCAAATTCTCGTTTTCTTTGATGATTCCGTATTTATTGGCTCCTGAGTCTCTGACAAAGGTGGGCAGTGAGTTACTGCATTTTGTGAATAGTATTTTACCCCCTGTTAAATTATCTGGGACAGTTTGTGTGGGTGGGAGGGTGTAGGGAAGGGCCAAGGAAGGATGAATTGGTGTGTCCACCTACAAAGGGCTGGAGCATGAGGAGGCTTTGAGCTGAAAAAAACACTTTCAAGTCTCCCCAGTTACCCTCTTTGGGAGTTCTGGTTGGGAATGGGGAAGGAATTAGGAGAAAGTGGTGGAGAGATCTGTGAAGAGAGGGAAATGGAAGAGGGGTGACAGGTAGCAAACACTATGAAGAGAAGGGAAGTAGCATTTGTTTTAAACTCATCAAACTGCCTTGATTCCTGTCTCTCTTCGGGCCCATGTTTATCATGTAAACAATTCCTCATTTGCAGTCCTTCTGAAGCCTCCTCAGGGGCACCAGTGTATCATTTTCCTTTTTCAGGGAAAACTCTCACATAGTTTTCTCCTAGAGTGTAATATCAGTGAGGCTTTTTTCCTTTTACTTTGGATATACCTATACAGTGTGTAATAATTACCAAAAAATTAACACACCCATGCCCACCCAGAATTGTTCATTTAATATCTGAAAGTGTGTGCCCTTTGATCAGCATCTCCCCACTTCCCCTGCCTTTCCAGATCCTGGTAACCACCATTCTACTCCCTCCCTCTAGGAGTTCAATTGTTTTAGATCCGCCATGTAAGTAAGATCATGTGTCTGTCTTTCCGTGCCTGGCTTATTTTACTTAATGTCATGTTCCCAGGTTTAGCCATGTTGTCACAAATGGCAGGATTTCCTTTTTTATGGCTGAATAATGTGTGTGTGTGTGTGTGTGTGTGTGTGTCCGTGTCCACCACATTTTCTCTATTCAACTGTCCATGGATATTGAGGTGGTTTCCATAACTTGGCTGCTATGAATAATGCTGCAGTGAACATGGGGGTATTTTTTGAGATAGTGATTTTACTGCCTTTGGCTATATAACTGGAAGAGAAGAGGGAGAGCTGTATTATATAATAGTTGTTATTTTCTTCAAAGAGTTTTTCATCCTTCTCATGGGAGCTTCTCTGAGAAAGAAATTAAATAATGTGTACTAAAGATATTAAAAAGCATTTTACAAAATAAGGCATTTTTGGCAAAAGCCATTGCCATTTTCCAGTGATCAATATCTGTTTCTATGTGTTGCTGATCTTTCTAGCCTTTCTTTTGTCAGTTTAAATTTTTGTCAAATTCTCTGGAAACTTTAACTGCTAACAGCTAACAGCTGCAGGAGGGAGATGCCTGAATTAGGGCAGGTGTGTTTGGCACAGAGCTAAGCTGTGTCTCTATCAGGGATATAAACTCCAGTCAAGATACGTTAGAGGCTGTTTAAGGATCATTATGATAGCCAGGTGATGCTAAATTGTAATTGTAATTACCTGCTGGTAGCCATTGGGTGTGTGGGGAGGAGAAGGGAGGAGAGGGTGATCTTTATAAATGGCAGGTGTAAAGAGTAAAAATACTTTCTTTTCAATAATGAACTCATTCCCAGATTGGCTAATGGGTATTTTTAAAGCCATGCTAAATTAAAGAAATCCAATTTTCTCACTACTATTTGGTAGCCCATGGGTTCACTGTGTGTCATATCCAGAAGAGTTCTATACATGAACTGGATTTAGTTGATCTGAGAGTCACTGGAGCTTTCTTTAATCAGAATGGAAATCAGGATAAGCTGAGGTCTTAAAGCTTTGTGGTACTTAAGGGAGAAAATTAACACTGTGTCTTGTAGCCGTTAGTTGGTAGAGGGAAATTCAGGCTACAGTCGCGAAACCTGCAGGTTAAAGTATTTTGTCCTCCTAACTTGTGTAGGTTCACAGTGTTCCCTTCTGATAGAGCTTTTTGCCTGTGTTGTAAAGTTCTTTGGCTGAGATGGGTGACAAAGATACTAACGAACCAAGACAGAAATTAAACTTTTCCTATTGTGAGGAGGAGACTGAGACTGAAGGGCAGAAGAAAGCACAAGAAAGCAGGGAGGCTTCGAGCCAAACCCTAGAGAAAGGTGAAGTGCAGGATTCAGAGGCAAAGCGTACACCACCTCGGACTCCCCTTAGTAATGTGCATGAGCTCGACACATCGTGGGAAAAAGACAAAGAAAGTCCAGATCAGATTCTTAGGACTCCAGTGTCACACCCTCTCACATGTCCTGAGACACCAGCCCAACCAGACAGCAGGAGCAAGCTGCTACCCAGTGACAGCCCCTCTACTCCCAAAGTAAGTAAGGGGTGGGGAACAAGGGACCCAGGTCGCCAAGCTCTGCTCCCCTGTAGTTTAGCTGATAGAGAAAGTAGACTCGTGTATATGACAGTCACCTCTAGACTGTGTATATCCTCAATTGCATATTTATTGATGAAAATGAAAAAGAGATTAAAGTTACCAGAAAATGGACAGAATTAAATGTTTTGCCAGTTGTCTTCTCAAAACCATTGGTGCCAGTAACTATTTGCTATTGGCCACAAACAAATCTTAGGTAGAAAAAACTTACTAGTAAAAGAATATTGGAACTGGGAGGAATATTGAGATTTAGAGCTCCACCTGTGCACTTTACATCTGAGCAAATGAAGGGCCCAAGATAGGAACTATCTCATAGCTCAGCCAATGTTAGAGACAGGACTAGAAACCTGATCGTTTTGGCTTAGTCTATTGTCTTTTCCATTATGCCAACTGGCTCTATTCTTTGTGTGATTATTTACTAATACTCTCTAATATAAGAATGTCCACACTCACTGTTTGAACACATTCATATCTCTTTGCTGCTGCTCCTCCCAGAAGAAACTCCTCTCCCCTCCTTGGTCTAATGAAATACAAATTCTTCTATTATATGTCAGCAAAGAAGGAAACGTGTTGATACTTCTTTATAAGCTGAGGATGGCAAATGAGCAAGAGTCCCTAATAGCATATTCCTTTGTTCTTGTTGTGATGGGTGTCCTGTTGCATTGTTCATGTTATTAAAGCCACCGTTGGGACAGGGTTGCCTCTAATCAACTCCAGTGCCATGGTGTGTGATTCCTAGGCTTGGTATTAGCTTTGCTTCCTGCTGGCTCAGCTTGAGGCACTTAAGGTCATCATAATAATATCTGTGATTCTGACTGCAGCACAGTAGTTGTCAGTGGGTCTCTTTAGTACCTGCTGGGGGTGGGTACCAGGTATACCAGGACATTCTAAGCAGCTTGTGAATTGTAGACAAATTAATATGCTCCGATGTCTAGCTCTAGGTTTTTCAGTGGTCACAACACCAACCAAATAATCATCCATTTATTTTTTGAGAATGTCCTGTAGGTAAGGAGCACATAATACAGTCTCTGCCGTCAAAGAGCTTACAGTCTAGCAGTGAGAGAGGAGTTATGTCAGTAGACATTATGTGATAAGTGTGGTCAGAACCCTCTGGACAGATACACAGTGCAGTGATTAGGAAAGAAAGAAAGGTACAGGACGGGCAATGAAAGTTGGTCCCGTTTTGATATATGGGGGAGAATGGGCTGAGAGAATGTGGCTTTGAGTAAGAGTACTCAGGGAAGAGAACATGACATTCATTTGATCATTCATAGCTTACCTGAACAGCGGGATGTGTTAGCAGACCCTCTGAGGGCAACACACATTTACTGCCTTCAAAAAGAGCCCACAAAATGAATAAAGAGTAAACAAATGAAACAAAGTTCAAACCATGTGTGCTAGAGGAATGGTTGAGCATGAGGAGAAGGAATTAGGAATTACATCTCTATCAGGGAAGACTTTCCAAAGAAAGTAATGTTTGAGAGATGTCTTAAAGGATATTTGGAGTTAGCCAGGCAAAGAGGGGAATGGGAATTCTAGGCAAAGGGGAAAAACATCCACCAAGTTACTGAGGGGAAGGAGCTGCTACACCTCAAAAACGGCCTGTTAGTCACTGTGACAGGGGCCTGTGTGTGAGAGAGTGCAAGAGATGGGGCCAGTGTAGGTGGGCAGAAGCTAGATCAAGATTTTTATCCCGAGAGTGTTGAGAGAGACAGTAAATGGTTTTGAGTAGGAGGATTTTTTTTTTTGGAAAAATCATGACCTTTGTATGTAGGATGGGATGGAGCATGAGACAGCCTGAGGGCTGAGGATTATTCAGAACATCTCTGTTGAACAGAGAAGAGCCTGGACTAGGACATACACTGAAAAAGTAAGGATGACTTGATGGAGGAATTGGAAAAAGAAAAACAACAATCCGATGACTGAGGTTTCTTGCGTAGATGGAATTAAGTTAGGTGTCACTGAGGGATATACAGGTTTGGAGAAAAGCAGCGATGTGGCATAAAAAGTTGGATAACTGGTTCTGGGGCACAAGAAAACAATGAAACTCGGAGATCCATATTTGGATATTGACAGCATTTGGGAAGCAGTAGAAGCCATGGGTGAAGATAAGGTCACATAGCCTGAGTGCCAGAGTAAGGAGAGAAGTGGCCCAGTTAGAAATCTTGGATAATGCCAAGATTTAAGGGAGAGGCAGAGAACAGGGCTTGGGAGCAAAACTGAAATGCAACTGGGAAAATACATACTTTTTTTTTTTTTTGAGACAGAGTCTCATTCTTACCCCGGCTGGAGTGCAACCTCTGCCTCCTGGATTCAAGCAATTCTTCTGTCTCAGCCTCCCAAGTGGCTGGGACTACAGGTGCCCACTGCCATGCACGGCTAATTTTTGTATTTTCTGTAGAGACAGGGTTTGACCATATTGGCCAGGCTGGTCTCAAACTCCAGACCTGGTGATCCGCCCGCCTCAGCCTCCCAAAGTGCTGGGATTACAGGCATGAGCCACTGTTCCAGGCCTGGGAAAGTACATACTTTATGAAAACATAGTTTGCGTTAGAAGAAAGAGGCTTCGCGAATGATCATTGTTATGCAGAAGGCAAACTGAATGGGAAAGGAGTATTAGTTTAGTCAGTTTTGTCCAAGGGACTGAACCAGAAATAATGTGAAATTCAGTTCACTGTAAGGCCTTCCTGGCAGAATCGTCTAGAGATAGAAAAGCATGCTTAGGAGGTGTAAGCTCCCTGTGGCTAAAAGCGTCGAACACTCACTCATGACCATTTGGTAGGAATACTGCAGAAGGGATTTGTTAGTCTGTTTGCCTTGCTATAAAGGAATACTTGAGACTAGATAAATTATAAAGAAATGAGATTTATTTGGCTTACAGTTCTGCAGGCTGTACAGTAAGCATAGTGCCCATATCTGCTTCTGGTGAGGGCCTCAGGAAGCTGACAATCATGGCAGAAGGTGAACAGACACAAGGCAGCTTGTTACATGGTGAGAGAAGTAAGAGAGTGGAAACAAGACAGGGAGGAAGTGTCAGGCTCTTTTAAACAACCAGGTCTTGCATGAACTAACAACCTGAAAACTGGTTCATTACCATGAGGATGGCACCAAGGAATCCACCCCTATGATCCAAATGCCACCTACCAGGCCCTACCTCCAGCACTGGGGATTATATTTCAACATGAGATTTAGAGGGGACAAACATCCAAATGATATCAGGTTCAAGCATCAGGGGACTAATTATATTGACTGGGCCTTTAAAATCCTTCTCTGTCCCAAGATAACTATGTTTGTGTTTTTGTGAGAGGTTGCCTTCTCGTCTCACCATCTTCATAAGTTAAGTAGCAATCCCCCAAATTTCCCTTACCTCCCTCAATCATCCATGTTAGAGCTATTCCATATGGAATTATTTGCCCTCTCTGAAGCACATTTATACCCTCAACCTGTGTCATCTTTCAATAAATTTTCAAATTGCTCTACTTCCAAGCCAAACTTCTTTTTATATGTCTTATCCTCAACTATGTTCTTTGAGATTTTGAAAGGATTACTCATAATCCTACTATACTGGCAATAACAACTATATTAACATAATTAATATCCTTCCCTACATCCTAAGTGGAGCTCACAAATTCTCTTGGCCCTCATATTTCCAGACTAGAAATTCTGATATTGTCTTCCCTGATATGAATACTTTTTATCTGAATATTTTCTTGGCCCCTTATATTTTTCTTGAGATGTAACAGCTGGAACTATCTACATACAGCATTCCAGGTGTGGCTGCCCCACTGATTCAAATGTGATAGATGCATTTTACTTTCCATATGATAATCAGCCCTACAAAAAATGAATTATCAGAATGACTTATTACAAAATTCTAGGTTCATTTCCCAAATCACATTGATAACTGAGAATTATCATTATCGTTTCACTTATTTTGAACCAATACACAGTCTTCATGATAAACCCGCAGGAAAGCTGTGAGTCTGTCATCGAGGGCTTGTCTGCCCCCTGGATTCCTCAAGCAGCCCTATGAACTCCAAAACATGTGAAACACTTGACTCTGGCAATGACATCATTTTTCTTCACTTAAAAAAAGGCTAGGTTACTGTGTATACTCCACAGCTTCCTTCATTCCTGCTTGTTCAATCACTTATTTAGTATTTACAGTAGATCAATACTAATTTTTTGTAGACTCACATTCTCTAATGAATCATGCAATCTGGCTTCTACTTCTACACAAAAATGTCATGGGCAGAGATGATCAGAACTGTAGAAGTCTTTTAGGAAGACCTCACAGGGCAATGCTCATACTGTGGCCCCTGTGTGTGCTGCCATACTCCTGAAGATCCATAACACAGCTACTCTCCTGGCCCCTGACATCAGGTCAGCATTCTACTGCCTCAGAATTCTTTGGCTTTTCCCTTACCCTTTGGTTTCATTCCAGTTAGGTTTAGGCCGATGTTTTTTGTTGTTGTTGTTTTTTTTTGACAAAATCTGGATCTTTTGTCCAGGCTGGAGTGAAGTGGTGTGATCTCAGCTCACTGCAACCTCTGCCCCACCCCCTGGGTTCAAGCAATTCTCCTGCCTCAGCCTCCCAAGTGGCTGGGATTACAGGTGCCTGCTACCACGCCTGGCTAATTTTTGTACTTTTAGTAGAGATGGGGTTTTGCCATACTGGCCAGGCTGCTCTTACTCATGACCTCATGATTTGCCTGCCTCTGCCTCCCAAAGTGCTGAGATTATAGGTGTGAGCCACCAGACCCAGCCAACGTTCTCTTACTGTACCCCACTGGGAGTGGTAAATCCTACACATTTGCCTATTTGTTGGTAGCTGGTTGTAGCCACTGCAAAGATCTGAATCTTAAGGGCTTAGAGTACTACTTTTCAATCCGTTCACCCCACTTCAGAAGCATTCTCATTTAACGCTATATCTTAAGTAAAATTAAAAACTTTTTTCATGTTTAAATAGTCTATGAAATCTTTTCCTTACAAGGTGATTATTTCTGAAACACTGATAACTGCTGAATAATGGACTATATATTCCTTAAGATTTAGAATTCACTTCTGTACCACTTGGCATCTAACCCAGCATCTGCTACGTAGTAGGCACCAAACAAATATTTGGATGAATAGTTGAGGGGAAGCTGGAGCATAAACTCTGAGAATATTGGGTCATTTTTGTTTGTCTAAACTTAATGTCCTTGTCTTTAAAAACTGGAGATAGGGCTACAATTCGTTTTCATAACCAGGGGGATTGCCCAAGGGAAAGGGTTGGAGCTGATTGAAATACAGGTTCCTGTGCTGACTTCATGAATCAGAATGTCTAGAGGTAGAGACGAGGATTCCATAGTTTTCATGAGAGGAAGAGTTACAGTGCAACTAGTTTGCATGGAAACAGATAATCTCTAAGGCCCCTTCAGCAAAAGCATTCTTAGGTTCAAATATTAACAACTAACTTATAAGGAATTTCTTTACTAATGATGTTATGACCTGTTTTTTGTCATCCTCATTCAGAGCATGCTGAGTCGGTTGGCGATTTCTCCAACAGGGAAGCTTCTCTCCAGAGGCCCCAAGCATTTGAAGCTCACACCTGCTCCCCTCAGGGATGAGATGACCTCATTTGCTCTGGTCAATATTAATCCCTTCACTCCAGAGTCCTATAGAAAATTATTCCTTCAATCTGGTGGGAAGAGGAAAATTCGAGGAGATCTGTAAGTGCTCTGTTTCTTACGCCGTGAGAACTGGCTCTATTACAGTCAAGCGGTAAGAAGAGAGTGTTAAAGATTAGGAACAAGAAGGCTATTTGAATTAAATTGATCTGCTTGCATATTCTCCCCTCCTTAAATATCAATGCTGGTTTCACCTGCTTTATTGTAGAGATTCGAACATCTTTCCGTTCTGATATGTACTGTAGGTGCATTCTCTATAAAAAGAGCAAGACAGAATAAGCAGTAGATCTCTGGCTTCCATTAGCTAGTTGAATGGGCTATGGAATTGCATTCAAGGGGTCTTCTCTGGTTAATATGAGGCTGGCAGTTGGGGAAGGTGTAGTTCATATTTCAAAGAGTACGTTGCTGCTTTGAGTTTTGTGTGACTAGGGATGAAAGCTATAGAACAAGGATTTGAACTTCTCTGTGGGTGATGGAAGACTGGCTGAAGTGAAAAAACATTGCATTCAGAGCTGCTAGAGAACAGAAAGCCACACTGCACTATTCCATAAAGGCCCCTGAATGACAGAAACCATCCAAATGAGGATTGTGCATATTACTCAGAAACATTTCTTTACTATATCTCTTCAAGGCTTTTTTACAGAATGGAATCACCTCCAAAGTGGGGCAGTCATTTATGTTCATATGTACTCAGCAAAATAAACGGACAGCTAACAATGGAAACTTTGCAGAGCATTGAATGTGCTATCTCAAGGAATCAATAAGCATGTGTTAATCAGTCCTTGACCAGAATAGGTTCTCTCAGCACCATCTCCTTAAGTAAACAGGACTTCAGCACAAGTCCACACATCTACTTTGGCTACTAAGAATTCTATTGGTTTTAGTTCTTTAGGAGCCTTCCTAAGTCATTACACTCTCACTGAAGCCAGCAACAAAGACAGCTAATTTGAAATCCTGGCAATGAAAGTGGTGACACTTTATAGTATCATTTGGTGCTTCTAAGAGAGTATTTTTCCTTATTATGTTTTTTTTTTTTTTTGAGACGGAGTTTCGCTCTTGTTACCCAGGCTGGAGTGCAATGGCGCAATCTCGGCTCACCGCAACTTCCGCCCCCTGGGTTCAGGCAATTCTCCTGCCTCAGCCTCCTGAGTAGCTGGGATTACAGGCACGCTCCACCGTGCCCAGCTAATTTTTTGTAATTTTTAGTAGAGACGGGGTTTCACCATGTTGACCAGGATGGTCTCGATCTGTTGACCTCGTGATCCACCCGCCTCGGCCTCCCAAAGTGCTGGGATTACAGGCTTGAGCCACCGCACCCGGCCCCTTATTATGTTTTTATGCTTTATAAAACACTTCATAAAATATTACAAAGTGGTGCTAAATTGCAAATACCAAGGATCAATTTATTTCCATGAATGTAGTGCCCTCCATTTGCCATTTCTACCTTGTGTTTCTCCAAAAGAAGAATCTATTAGCTAGTTGAAATCTTGCTTAAGGATCTAGAATACAAGTATACGTGGCAAAGAGGATATCTGCCGGTAACTTGGCTTATTGAAGAGTAACTGAAAATATGTCATCCTGGGTTAGAGCAGATTCTGCCCTACTTGTAGTCTACCTGTGAACCGAGTACAAAGCCAGATTCTGGGTGAGGGCTGGGTGTTGGAAGGGGAGTGGGGTGTGGGAGTGAGGGGCAAGTGCTTTGGTGTCAGACCTCGCTCCAAGTTCTTGTTCTGCCACTTGCTAATTGTTTGACCTTCAGTTATTTAACCGCTCTCTGGTTTCCTCGTCTGGGCATAATGATACCCATTTAACAGTTTCACATATGTTCTGTGCTCTCTCGCTCCAGTTCTCAGCACATGGTGTTCTACTTCCTGAAAACCTTTCTCTGTTCCCTTAGCTAGTTCCTACTCATTCCCAGAATCTTGGCTTATATATCTTCTCTTCTGGGAAAGCATTTTACTCTTGAAATAATCGAGTGCTGTCTATGGTATCCTTGTTATCTTATCCTGTTCTAGGCTCTTGAATTGAAATTTCCTGGTTATCCCTGCCTCTACATACAAACCGAAGAGAAATGAATCGTCATATTTACTCTTACATCCCTAGAACCTAGCATAGTTCAGGCTCAATAAATGTTAATCATATATTGATAAACTTTTTTTTTCCTAAGTGAGGAAGCTGGTCCAGAGGAAGGCAAGGGAGGGCTGCCTGCCAAGGTAAGTGTGGGTCTTTGGCCCAGCTGCCACAACATAGGCAGTTTATCTTATTCTCTCTCTCTTTCCTTTCCCCTTCTCCTTCTCTCTCCTCCCTCCTCCATTCTTCCCTACCTTCCCTTTTCTCCTCCCTCACCCTCCCTCCTCTTCCTCTTCCTGTATCTTCCCTCCCCTTCTTCTACCCTCTCCTTCTGCCCTCTCTTCCCTATCTCCCCATCTCCCCTCATTCTCCTACTCTCCTTCTCTCCTCCCCTCCCAGCTGTGGTGAGCTCCCACCTCAGCTCACACTCTTGCTTTGTAAATGTGCTTTGCAGCTGAATTTATCCAAACCCTAGTCAGAGTCTGTGTTCTCAGCTAGTTGTTACTTTGTCAGGCCGTGTCTGAGATGTATATTGCTGAATCATTACTTCAGAGTATTTTTAAATTAAATATTTCTGCAAAATGGCATAGAGCCAGAGATTTATATGTAAAACTTTAGCTCTTAAATGTATCAATATTTGATTTTATAATATTCACAGTCTTTAATCTATCCCTCATATGATAATCTAACCTAAGAAAATAATACTGTAAATATTATCCTCAGAGATGTTTATTGTAACAGCAAAAAATGCCTGCTAATAGAAAAATGGCTAAGCTAATTATAGTTTTAAATGAGTGGAATGTTAAATTGTCATTAAGATGTTTATAATACCTTGAAAACATGCATATGTTCAGTGTGCAAAAGATTCAAAATGTTATATGCTGAATGACCATAACTATCTATGGTACATTAATCACAGGGAGAAGGAAATGGAGCCATAACCACTGCTATTTCAACATTTTTGAATGGTGGAAACTTAATGTTTGTTTTTCCTTTAAATTTCTAAAGTTTTCCGAATCAAGTTTTCTTTGCATAAATGAGATAGGTTAATATGTTAAAATGTTAGCACTTGGCTATTGTAAACATCATAGAAAAGAAGGCCCCTGGCACAGGGTTTCCTTCACATGCAAATGTTTCTGACTTATGCCTTCATTATTTTACTCTTCGATTTTATTCCTCACTTTTAATTTGTCTCCTGATTTCAGATAGAAACTCTAACACTATTTATTAAACATTCAATAAGTGCAAAGCCTTGTATTTAGTTAGAAACCCTTTAAGGAAAAGAATCTGCCCAACAAGAGTTAAAACCTTTGAAATTTCAAAACGATTTATACATAAATAGGAAGCTATGAGACATGTGTATTTGTGTATATGTGTATGTACATATGTGCACATACTCTTACATGTATATATTTAAAATCTATAAGGAATTAGTAAATACTTCAGTGAAATAGGACTTGGTAGGAAGAGATAGTATATTCAGATAATTTTAGACAAAGGAAATAAATAACTTCAATGCTATCAAGAAAGGAGAACAGAGTGCATGTGTAGGAGCTGTAGGGTGGGTGAGGGAGTGGTCAGGGAGAAATGCAGATGGTATACTGGCTTCGCTGGTATCTCGGGGGAGGGTAGTCAAGTAGTGGGTGTGCAGCTGGTAGAAGGTCTTGAGGCTTTCTCACCAGGAGTTTGAATTTCTCATGGGAAACAATTAGGCGTCTCTGATTCTATAGTATCATTTTGCAAAAATAACTCTTAACTAGTAGAGGAGTTGAAAGAGGGCTAGTAGCAGTAGCAAATCCAAACAGGAAGGAAACAGAGCTTGAGACTGGCTGAGAGTAATGAAAATTAGAGATCTTGCTGATGAAAGTGATTGGAATCTGATTTTGAAAATGTAGTAAAACCCAAGATTTTTGAAAGTCATAAAGTTGGAGAAAAATTATTCATGATTGGGACACTGAAAAAAGATGACTTTGGGAGCTAAATCAGCTTGGATTTATATTCATATAAATTTATGGAGATTTTTGGTCATAATAGTTTAATGAGAATTTACCATGTACTTGACACTATCTTTAGCTATGTGTTACGCATAACATTTGTAATGCTGTATATTCTCATGTCATAGTTAAAAGAACTCTGAGGAATAGTTGCTATGATCTTCATCTTACAGATGGGAAAACTGAAGGGAGTTCAGATTGGCCTGGGGTTATTTACTCACTGGGCAATGAGTGATGCTGCTACTTGGCCAGTAGTGGGAGTGGTTGCTAGACCTGAGCACATATTCTGAACTAGCCAGTTTGACAATTTTGACAAAATCAGTTTTCCAGACTGGTTTTTGGGAAAAGAAACAGAAAACAAATGTGTCTATTCAAATGTGAGATGGAAATGTTAGCATTTAGACGTCGAGAAGGGGGGTCTTTTATTTCTTTTAATTTGCTCCACCCAGGTCCCAGCCATTCTTTGAACTGAGGACAGTAGCTCTGGGTGTGAGAAGTTGTGCCCCCTTAGGAACATGTAGAAAAGAACAGTAGGCCCAGATAGAGAAAAGAATGTTGAAAAATATGTAAGACTTGACAGTATAGAGTTTATGGAAGGTTGCAAAGAAAACAAAAAAGATTCTTGCTACCATGAATTGGGGAGATTCTTGCTACCATGAATATTGACACAGGTAGAATTCATTGCATTTGCATCAAAAGTCTTTTTGAAAACTTGGAGCAATTTAGGACTATAATATTGTTTAATTTTATTGCTTACAACTTGTTAGAATTATTCTAATTTGCTTTTTATTAAAATATTTTAGAGATGTGTTTTACGAGAAACCAACATGGCTTCCCGCTATGAAAAAGAATTCTTGGAGGTAGAAAAAATTGGGGTTGGTGAATTTGGTTCGGTCTACAAATGCATTAAGAGGCTGGATGGATGTGTTTATGCAATAAAGCGCTCTATGAAAACTTTGGCGGAATTATCAAGCGAGTGAGTACCTTTGAAATGCACTATAAGCATAAACTTAAATTTGGAGAGTTGTTTCTCGTCAAATTATTTTGAAATATAGCTCTGCTATCACTAAAAATCATTTTTAAAAACTTCCCTGCATTATATGTTGTCTCATATTCATAACATTTCTGAGTTTTCTAGCTTAGATGTTCCTTCTCAAAATATAACATCATCATTTTAGATCATGTTTTTGTGTGTGTGTGTGTGGCTTTCACTTTCTACTGCTGGTCTTTCTGACTTTTTAAAAAATGAATAGATTTATGGCATTGTCTTCTGGGTGTCTGTTTCATTTATCAGGAATACTACCAAATAGAACGTTATTGTAAACTCACTGGTTTATTTTTACTTTATGTTAATAATGAATTCAGTAGTAAAGTTTCAGAGACTACATGCAAGGGGAAATTAACAAAACTTTGTTTCATTCCCAGAACTGTTCAAGGAAAACACATATTTTCAGATTCAGCCAATGCTTTTGATGAACTGTGAGAATATACTTAACATGCAGAATCTGGAAATACAGGTTTTACAATTCTTCTTTTTTTTTTCTTTTTTTGAGACGGAGTCTAGGTCCATTGCCCAGGCTAGAATGCAGTGGTGCCATTTTGGCCCACTGCAACCTCCACCTCCTGGGTTCAAGTGACTCTCCTGCCCACCTCCTGGGTTCAAGTGACTCTCCTGCCTTAGCCTCCCAAGTAGCTGGGACTGCAGGCATGTGCCACCACAACTGGCTAGTTCTTCCTTTTTATACGGGGACTCATCAAGTACTCTATTTTGCTTTAATTCGTGTTGGGATTTTCTATTCCACAAGGAATATCTCTCCCCAAGGCTATTTCTGTGACTATATCATATTGGCTGAGGTTAATATTGACTCTAATGTTAACCTCATTAGAGTTAACATTAGGGTTAATGAAAAGAAAGCCCATTATAACATCACAATCTGGTGTACAGTGGCCTTCCTGTTAAGCCCATTAAAAAGTTTTGATTGTGATACGTTGAAATGAAGACCTGAAGCACATCTGCCATTGAGGCATAACCACTGAAGAGTCTTCTTTACATATGCTATGTTAAATCAGAAAACAATGGACTTTGGGACCAGGCTGACCAAGGTTCTTCTCTTAAGTCTACTATTACCAGTTTGACTTTGGGCCACTTACTTTAGAGAGCCTTCATCCTTTCCACTGTATATCACCAAGCAATTATAGAGATTCAATGAGATAAAATAGTAAGCAAGCAGTGAGTGCTCAATAAATATTCTGCCATTGCTAATAAAGCCTTATATTTTTAAAAACAATTTTTAAGTACATTATCTTGATGGATGTTTTTATTCCTCAATGCTTTTCTGTCTCTTAGGAATTTGGCTTTGCATGAAGTTTATGCTCATGCAGTGCTTGGGCATCATCCCCATGTGGTACGTTACTATTCCTCATGGGTGGAAGATGACCACATGATCATTCAGAGTGAATACTGCAATGGTAAGTATTATGTAGATGAATATCTACGAAGAGGGAGATGAACCTCACAAGCCTTCAGAAATAAACTTTGCCTCCTCTTCATAGTTTACGCCATGTATAGCAGACATACCTAAGATGTCTGCACTATATTTTATAGTCTTGCTTGTAAGCACAGAGCTTCCATTCCTCTTAACTATATAGATATACCTGAACTTATTCTTTCTTTCCCTTCTGTTGTCAGGATCATCATTCAGTTCAGAAAATATTTATTCCATGCTAGACTTGGGGAAAGTGGAGATGAGTTAGACGTGTTCCCTGCCCTTAAGCAGCATGAAGGCTAGTAGGGAAACCTACTAGCTTCCATGGATGCAGCCTTCCTCCTCGTCGGCAGCACCTCATGACCTCACCTATAAACTTTGTCTTGGAGTGACTTCATTTTTAACAAGCTCCAAAACATTCTTTTTCCTTACTTATTCTTTCTAATTAGTAAGTCATATGTAGCATATAAATTCTTTTCTAAGAAGACTCTCAAAAAATAAAAACTTTACTGTAGTCCTCTTTGTGTTTCTGAAAGGAGCTGAATTATTCGACCTTCAAACTTATGTGTCATGCTACAATAATTCTTTAAATTCGATTTTACACAGAATGCATTTAAATATGAATTTCCTCAAATTCCATGACTATCTCAGAGCTCAGTGAGTGGAGCTATGGTCTTTGTAACTGCCAGTTAGAGCGAAGTCCCTATAACTTGAAGAACGTGCCAATGAGCAATAATTAATAGTGTTCAGAAGCATTCTAATACCTTAGAATCAAGATCAGATAGTTATATGAGTCCAGGCCTTTTATTTAATTGATAACAACAATACATCGAGTCTCCAGGTGATGTACAGCTCCGGTAGCTGAAATAAGGTTTGGGGGTAGATGCAGCGTTTACCTTTTCCTTGGGTTGGCAATCATTAAATGTTCTTATTTCATAATCTAGTTTTAATAAAATTGGACTTAGACTCAATTATATTAAAATTACAGATGGCCTATAACTATTAGCCTGACACTAACATGGAGCTAATCGTTGACACCAATAGTAGGTGATTGATCTTCTGGTTAAGAATTAGGTAAAACTTTAAAAATGTTAGCTGATACATACTTGAATCAATGGGGCCATGTACTTTTTCTTTTCCTCTTTGAAAACCCTGTAATTCTCCTTTCCAACATGTCTGTGGTATAGATAGGGCAGATACCATGCTTTGCACTGACACCAGAGTAATCTATTTGTTGGACTGAAGCCATTCATGAGGCATGTATTGACTATAGTACTATGTCATTTTATATAAGGGACTTGGGCATTTGGGGCTTTGGTAGCTGCAGGGGGTCCTGAAACTAATCCCCTGAGGATATGGGAGGCCAACTGTATTTCCTGTGCTTTCACCTGTAAGACTCATACTTTTCTCTCATTTTGTGGGGCTGTTCTCTGTTGTTCTTTCCCAGGTGGGAGTTTGCAAGCTGCTATATCTGAGAACACTAAGTTTCACAAACATTTCCAAGAGCCAAAACTCAAGGACATCCTTCTACAGATTTCCCTTGGACTAAAGTACATTCACAACTCTGGCATGGTACACCTGGACATCAAACCTAGTCAGTATGATTCCCTTCTGCCACTTCTACCGTATTTTGTTCTCTCTATGCTATCATAAAAATCTGGGTCTATATGTCTACCAAGTGTCAAAGACAGTGTTTGCTGGCAGAACTCCTTTCTTCCATTTGTGTCCCTTAAATCAGTTAAATAGCTTTAACCATTTTCTCCTAGGTCCAGGAGACAGAGAAAAAAAAAAGACTCTTACCGATATAGTAAGGCCAAAAAAAGGTGAAAATTGGTATTTAATTTACTACAAAGACAAGTGACAGCATATCAGCTACATTCCAATTGTGTTTATGACTAGTACTATATTGATCCTAACTCAAGTTACTCATTTAAAGTAAGGAGAAATGAGTGACTTTGTCACTCAATAATGTGAAACCCAAGGACAAATTCTTACTATTTTTTTATTTTGGGGACAATAGTACTCTGATACCAGCCTCTTCAGGGAATGGAGACTATATGAGGTCAGTTCAACTTAAATCGGTATTATCTATCACTAGCTGTTCAGAAGTGATGTGAGATTTCATAGAAAAAAAGAAACCCTTAGTAGTCTTGGTCATAGTCTTTTGCTATGTCCACACAAAAGAAGAAAGGAGAGAAGCTGAATTGTCAAATACAGAAAAGAATCTTTGAGATGAAAAAGCTTAGAAATCATTACTTACGTCTATTCTGTGATTTTTTTTTTCCAGGTAATATTTTCATTTGTCACAAGATGCAAAGTGACTCCTCTGGAGTCATAGAAGAAGTTGCAAATGAAGCTGATTGGTTTCTCTCTGCCAATGTGGTGTATAAAATTGGTTAGTCTGCCTTATACCCTTACCAGTCACAATTGTCTTGTAAAATTTATACTGATGACTCAATTTATTCAGTTTTAAGAAAGACATGCTTTGAAAAAGCTCTATTTCTCTTTTTTTATACTCTTTTATTCTTTTTTCCATCTTTCTGTAGGTGACCTGGGCCATGCAACATCAATAAGTAAACCAGAAGTGGAGGAAGGAGATAGTCGCTTCCTGGCTAATGAGATTTTGCAAGAGGTATAGATTAGGGAAATGGAGGGAACTTTATAATCCATTTAACCTCTGACTATCAAATGGAGGCTCTCAGTGAAAACAAATGAAAACTATATAATTATAGTATCTCTCTTCCCATTTAGAATGGAGGCCAAAGATAGGAGAGAAACTCTTTCAAAAAAGTGAGGAAAACTGGCTCAATCAAGGATGAACCAATATTCAGACTATTCTTTCTAAATGCCTTTTACTGTTTCCCAGTATTTCTTAGGCTTCTAACCTCATGGATTGCCTCCTAAGAAGGAAGCCTATTTCAAGCCCATATTGGTCCAGTCCATCTTTATCATGCCATTATTGTTCTGATGGCACCACCAGTTTCGGTTATTGAAATGACGTTTAGTCATTGCCCATCTTCTCCAATGTCTGTTAAGTCAGGTCTAGGAAGGATATAACTTCTTCCTGGGTGATAATCAGGTAAAAATGAGTATTTCCTTCCTGTGATCAGCCAAGTTATGCAGCAAGCCTTTCTGAGCCTGACAGAGCAAAATGGCACTAAATTTCTGCCTTGGACTCCTCAGGGCACAGCAGTGTTAATCAGGTAGACTTATGTTCTCCCTTCTCTAGAAATCACTACAGTAATGTACCTTTGACCATCGTGTCTGTTTAGACCTTATATGCACTCTAGTCTTTCCTACCAGTTGTCTTTTAATCTAGACTCACTGCTTGACATAGTAACTGGCCTTCCTGTTGTTTGTTTTGAAGGATTACCAGCACCTTCCCAAAGCAGACATATTTGCCTTGGGATTAACAATTGCACTGGCTGCAGGGGCAGAGTCATTACCCACCAATGGTGCTGCATGGCACCATATCCGCAAGGGTAACTTTCCAGACGTCCCTCAGGAGCTCTCAGAAGACTTTTCCAGTCTGCTCAAGGTGATATTTCTTACGAGATGAATAGAAAATGCAATATCTATTTTTTAATGCGATGGCAAGTAGTTGGGGAAAGAAAAATGGAGATACTGGTAGTGTCACTAACAGAAAAAGGAATGTGACTGGAAGTCAAGATAAGATAAGGGGTGGGTAGAGAGTCTCTTAAGGAAACTCGGAGAAAATTGTGAAATCTTTCATGCTTAGTTTAAAAAGTCCTGTTACAAACATTTTTTCATTTGCCCTTTCTAACAACCCTGTAAGATAGGCAGGTGGCATCTTATTCTGCAGTTGAGGAAGCATGGCTCAGAGCAGCTCCTTGATACCTGAAGTCACAGTTAATGACTGGTTAGCTCCAAAATCAAATCTGGTCTTCTTGTTGCTACTTCAGGATTTTAACTATTGTTAGTGGTAACAGTGATATTACTAAAGGAATGAATTTCTACTGCATGTAAGAAGGTATAAGACTATCGATAATACTAATTATTTGAGCTATTAGAAAAAAGGTACATACAATGTCAATTCAAAAGTCTATCTTTTACTTGTACTTAATGACATTTGAGTAGTGTAGGGGCAAGAAAGGGAAGATGCTATGTTGAAACAGACACAAAAAGCTTATACTGCCAAGAAGCTTAATCATACCAAGAAAAGTGTATATATGACTTTATATCATGTCTTAGGGAACAGGATTGGTTAGGATTCCTAAAACTGCCTTAGAAATATCTATTTCCCTGGAGATTAGATTTTTTTTTTTTTTGAGACAGGGTCTCACTCTGTCACCCAGACTAGAGTACAGTGGCACAATCATAGCTTACTGCAGCCTTGAACTCCTGGGCTCAAACAATCCTCCTGCTTCAGCTTCCTGAGTAGCTGGACTACAGGTGTGGGAAATTAGTTTCACAGTTTACCTGCAAACTTCAAATGTATTTACAAATCCATCCTTCTTCCTGACTACTTTTGCTTTTCTGAAAGGAGGCAAACTCTTCCTTTTGTTCAGTCTAATCACCTATTCCCATGTGTAAACCACTTTGCATTTACTTGATATTTCAGTACCTAAATGCTAGCCCTGTGCTGGGCAGTACATATATGAATTCATTAAAATCTAAAAATAGTCTAAGAAGGTAAACATAATTATCCCAAATTTCAGGTAAGGGAAATGGAGCTTCAGCAAAATTGATAAAACAAATGGTGGAGTTGGCTCTGAATCTGGTCCCCAAATGGAGGGTTCAGTGTTTTCTTCACTATATGAGTGTCAATTGCTGTATATAATTAGGTATTTTCTACTATATTCAAATCATGATAGGTTACAGATGTCTTCTACCTTAAAATAAATGCTTTAGGAATACTGTCATGGTGGGTTATTAAAATTAAATGGAACAGCAACATGATGTGGTAGAAAGTAAACAGGAGTAAGAGTTGGGCAAACTGGGTTTTAGTCTTGGCCATTCCAGTAATTTGGATAATTTTTATTGAGTCATAGTTTTGCTTGAAAACTAAGGCAATAGACTAGTTAGCCAGCCAGCTCCAAAATATGATTAAAGACAAGACAAATCCCTGTAATCCCAGCACTTTGGGAGGCCGAGGTGGGTGGATCACGAGGTCAAGAGATCGAGATCATCCTGGCCAACATGGTGAAACCCTGTCTCTACTAAAAATATAAAAAAATTAGCTGGGTATGGTGGCACGTGCTTGTAGTCCCAGCTAGTCAGGAGGCTGAGGCAGGAGAATTGCTCGAACCTGGGAGGTGGAGGTTGCAGTGAGCCGAGGTCACACCACTGCACTCCAGCCTGGCGCCTGGTGACGGAGTGAGACTCTGTCTCAAAAAAAAAAAAAAAAAAAAAAAAAAATCAAAGGTGTGGACAACTGACGCTACCAGACATGGACAATCCTCTTGTCCAAGGTGGGACTCAGCTTTCATTTCTCTCTTTCCTCTGCACAAAGTAGAAACAAGATCTCGCAAAAGCCATCAGCAGAAGCTGGGTTGGAGTTGACTTGAGTGGGAAGACTTTTCCCAACAGTGAAACTTCCATTTCTTTCCTTTTGTCCTATATCATCAGAACATGATCCAGCCTGATCCTGAACAGAGACCTTCTGCAGCAGCTCTTGCCAGTAATCGAGTCCTCCGGCCTTCCCTGGGAAAAACAGAAGAGCTCCAACAGCAGCTAAATTTGGAAAAGTTCAAGACAGCCACACTGGAAAGGTATATTTTTGGATGATGGAGGTCAAGAAAGAATCTGAGCACTACTCATAATGGTATGACCAGTCTAGTGTGTCTTCTCTATGGATTTAGGGGTGTGTATATGAGAGTGTGTGTGTGTGTGTGTGTGTGTGTGTGTGTGTGTGTGTATTCACCAGTATATACATAGGTCCCTGTCCACAAGTCAACTGGCAGTATGTGGCTCTTCATAGCATGGGGCTGGGAGGCTCTGTGATTAGGCTGCTTGAGAGAGAGAAAATTCCAGTTAATGCAAGCAAAGGAAGCAAGAGTGAGGAATATAAGGAAATACCAGTAAAGAAAACTTAGGATTCTGAGTGGCAGCAGGTATCTAAGTAACTGGTTGGTGATCACCTAATATAAACACGGGTAAGATGAGTAAGACCTATTTTAGAAACCCATTAAGTGTCAGGGGCAGGCAAGTAGACATACTGTACTGGTACACATTTAGAGGAAAGATTATTTTTTTGAGCAAAGAAAACAATCTGCTCTCCTCATGTAGGCTTGTATTCATGCATAAATTTACTTGTTAATCCTTCAATAAATGAGAATTTGAATATTTACCTGACAGGGGAGATGCCATGATCACGAAGGTGGTTTTCCCAGGGTAAGGGTCATCCATTGCACTCCGGATGTGCTGACCCCTGCGATTTCTCCAAATGTGGGAAACTCGACTGCATAATTTGTGGTAGTGGGGGACTGCGTTTGTACTTTCCCCTGAAAAACAAAAAAGAAAAAAAATGGGAATTCAATGGGGTGGAGTTGGAGAAGAGCAGTAATCTGAAGGCATTTTTGAATACTTATTACATACACTGTACACCACCAAAAATACAAAAGAGGAAAATGAAAAATTGTCCTTGCTTAAAATAAGCTTAGAAGTCCAACTTCTCTTGGATATATAATTATCCATCTTGGAAAGATTAGCTTTGAAGCATCTCTAAACTGATTTCTTAGTATTAATGATAAGTTGTAGAGATTCTTGGCCTTTAGTCAGATAAATTTTCCTAATAAGCCACTTAATATTTTTCTGTTCTAGTTTTGAATTCCATTGTCCCAACTAATAAAGTACAAAGTACTATTCTTATATGTGTTGTTCACAAGAATATATATAAGTACCTCTTAAGGTGTGATGTGTACATTCTAGGAAGCCAGCTATGGAGACACAGGTGACTATCACCAGCCAGTACCAGTGATGGGCACCCATCATAGAGATGGGGCTAACAGCATTTTGAAATTGTCTAGACCGGGGTCCCCAGCCCCTGGGCCATGGACCAGTACCAGTCTGTGGCCTGTTAGGAAATGAGCTGCACAGCAGGAGGTGAGCAGTGGGTGAGTGAGCACTAACCATCTAACTCTGCCTCCTGTCAGATCAGTGGCGGCATTGGATTTTCATAGCACGAAACTTTTTGTGAACTGTGCATGTGAGGGATCTAGATTGTGCACTCTTTCCAAGAATCTAGTACCTGATGATCTGAGGTGGAGCAGTTTCATCAAGTCATCTCCTCCCCCGACTCCCCATCCATAGGAAAATTGTATTCCTTGAAATCAGTCCCTGGTTCCAAAAAGGTTGCGGACCACTGGTCTAGACCAAGTGTTGGAAAACTTGTTTTGTGAAGGGCTAGATGGTAAATATTTTATGCTCTGTGGACCACATGCTTTCTGCTGTAATGACTTCAACTCTGCTAAAACAGCCATCGACAACATAAATGAGTGGCTCTGTTCCAATAAGACTTTATTTATAAATACAGGTGATGGGCCAGATTTGACTCAGAAGTTGTGGTTTGTTGACCGTGGTAGCTTTCATATATAGCCTAAAGAAGCTGTTCACTTAATTTAACACATTTTAAAGATCATTTATACTCCAATAAGCAGAGTCTGGGAAGCTAAACCTACCATGTTGTATGGCATGTGTGTGTCAACCATTTTTTATGACATCCATACTAACTGAATTTTCTATTCTGTATTTAGCTCAAGCTTTTTACTTCAGTAAATACTGAAACAAAAAGAAAAACAATCATATATTAGTTTTGATCATATGTATCTCTGATTGGAGATCAAGTAGCCTTTGCTTTTTCCACCTTGCACTTCAGGGAACTGAGAGAAGCCCAGCAGGCCCAGTCACCCCAGGGAGACATCCATTATGGTGACACTTGGATCTCTAGGACCCACACAGGATCAAGAAGCACAAAACGCCTGGTGGGAGGAAAGAGTGCAAGGTCTTCAAGCTTTACCTGTCAGTAATCCTCCCCTTAAGAACTCATTTTGCACTAGCCAACCTTTTACTGTAAAACCTCCAGAAACAGACATTAGGTGTCCCAACCTTCCTCTTATAAAATAAAAAAATCAGCCGACTTGAATGCCCAAGGATTTCAAAAGCTACTGCTAACTCAGCGTTTATAGCCAAGATCCTAAAGCTAGTAAGGCTTTGTATTAACAATGGTCCCAGATACAATAATTGGAAGGTATTTCTCTTCTCTGTTGTTATATTCCTAATGCCATTGATCAACAATTTATTTACCTCTCATGCTTTCAATGAACAGCTGGAGAACATGAAGGAAGAAAAGGAGACAGCCCTTGATTTGGCCTATGGATTATGAGGTTGCTGTTGCCGAATTCCCCACCAAGGATCCAGGGACTCATTGTACATAGAAAGGAATAGAATTTAGTTTAGAGTTGAAGTAATAGCTAACAGAGAATGTGCCTGAATTTCCATGGTGCTTCCCAAGTTATAGGATGCTACTCCTAAAAGAGAATTCTCACCTTTGAGGAAGCAGGTCTCCTAATGTATGCCCTTTCTGATACTGTATTTATTAAATAAATGGCTTCACTATTATGTGAGGTGGGTAAAAGTTAGACTCTATGTAACTTGGACATCTTTGAGTTGGTTGTTAACTTGCAGAACAAAAATGCTGTGGGAGGGGCTTCAAGGAAAACTCAGCGTGACTGTGGCTGTTCTCCATCTATTTGCCCTGCCTCTCTCCTGGCTGTTCCGGTTGGTTTGATACTCTGGGTCTCACCAATTTCCCCTGATTTTTATGAGGATTTGGCTTTGTTTCCTGTTTTTTAATCCTATTTTATTGAAATCCTTTTTTCTGTATACATTTTAAAAGGAATAGAACACTGTATTTTTAAATAAAGGTTTTTATCTTGTCCAAAGCCTAATTACTAGTAAAATATTCTTCTTTGTAAAATGTAACTAACAAAGAATGAGAAATTTATATTGGAGAACATTTTATGAATAAAAGGGTAAGATAATTCAGTGGGTTGGTAGTAACAGGTCTTGGTGGCAAGTCCCAGCTTCACAAATCCAGAAGCTAATAATGGTCAGGCTCTCCTGGAAAATTATGTTGGTCTTAAAGGTGTTTGATAAGTTCTGTTTGTGTCATCTTAGTGAATGCAACCTGTTAATGATAATGGCTTTTGTGCTGCTTGATTTTCTCTTTTCCCCCTCATTTTAAAAAGCTAATTATGTTTTTTTAATTGAATAAACCTTAATACTACTGTTTTGCTTTGGAATAGCAATTCTTTCCATGCAATTATGTGTGGTGGTGTTCTTCCTATAATCCATTGCCATTTTTCTTTGCTAGACTCTACTCAAAATTATAAAATGGGGTTCATTTATCTCTTGCCTCTCTGCCCCCACTACATATACCAGGCCATGTCCCTTGTAATGTATAGTACAAGGTCAACCACAATTTGTGATTTAGAAATAGCTAAATGATTAAGTACATCTGATGTTCAGATGTATAGATGAGATTTGCTTGGTTATACCAGTCTTCTCAGGCATTGATAACTATGATTATTTGGGTCTGCAACCTCTTCCCTACTGTGTTCCCCAGAGCCTGGCTTCACACCTGAATGGATCTGATTCTCTCTCACCCCCACTTCCCCACCTCCCGTACACTCTACAGTGTAGCAGGATGTCACCAAAATCGTATGTATCTATCTGCATAGATGCTGTTGAGTGTGAGGGACTGGGTCTTCACTGGCCTTGGCATTTCATCCCTTCCATTTCAGTTAGATGCTTATTCCTTATCTCAATCTCAGTAAGTTTTATTTTTGTACAGAGATCATGATATAACTCAGTAACTAATTATCACAATTATTTCATTAACATCATTGGGCTGGTAACATTAAAGAAGGCAAATTTAATACTTTAGAAAATATGTTACATTAAGGTACCAAAAGATAGTCTTGAGATCTAGAGAAATACTACTGAGCTCTACTGGTCTAAACTCTAACACATGTACCAATTTAGAGAGGCCATTTATTGAAAGCTGTAGAAAGATGAATATTGAAAGATATGAACCTTTCAGCCTGAACAACTATGGCTTTATATCTCTAGATGAACCATATTTTCAATTTTGAATTGCATAAAAATTGTCAAGTGTGTTAAGTTTAAAAAGTAGCCATAATAACTACTAAGTATTGTTAAATTGCTTTTGAGCCATTCTAATATATACGCAAGTAATCAGTGTAGGTAGTAAGTGCTGTAATTTTTCAGCAGTCATCATGAGGCTTTAGAAAAGCTAATTTAAAGTCAAAGTAAAAATCTGATTAAAATTTCTTTAAAAAATGGATAATTTACAGCAAAACTGTCCAAAGCTTGCTTTCTTAAAAGAGAAAAAAGAAAAGAAGAAAGAGAGAATAAAAAAAAGAATGAAAGAGAGAGGAAGAGAAAGAGGGAGAGAGAACAGAAATCTTGCTCCATTACCCAGGCTAGAATGCAGTCTAAAAATAGGTATTAAAAACCTCTTTTATGCCAACAATTGTGCTTAACAGTGGAGACAGGAAAGAAGAAGGGAGGAAAATAACAAGCAGCCAACCAACATTTCATTTAAACCTGTGAAATGCTGTGCGATTGCTGAGGAGTGATTTACTTCCAATTAGGTGGTCACGTTTAGAATAGGTGTGATGTGATTCTGAGAAGAATGTATGTTTTGTGGATTTGGGGTGGAGAGTTCTGTGTATGTCCATTAAGTTTACTTGTTCCAGGTCTGAGTTCAAGTCCTGGACATTCTTGTTAATTTTCTATCTCGTTGATCTGTCTAACATTGGCAGTGTGGAGTTAAAGTCTCCCACTATTATTGTGTGGGAGTCTAAGTCTCTTTGCAAGTCATTAAGAACTTGCCTTATGTATCTGGGTGCTCCTGTATTGGGTTCATATATATTTAGGATCATTAGCTCTTCTTGTTGCATTGATCCTTTTACCATTATGAAATGTCCTTCTTTGTCTCTTTTGGTCTTTATTGCTTTAAAGTCTATTTTATCAGAGACAAGAATTGCAACTCTTGTTTTTTTTTCCTCTCCATTTGCTTGGTAAATCTTCCTCCATCCCTTTGTTTTGAGTATTTGTGTATCCTTGCATGTGAGATGGGTCTGTATGCAGCATACCAATGAGTTTTGGCTTTTTATCCTATTTGCCTGTCTGTTTCTTTTGATTGGGGCATTTAGTCCATTTCAATTTAGGATTAATGTTGATATATGTGAGTTTAATACTGCCATTTAATGCTACCAGGCTGTTTTGCCCATTAATTGATGTAGATTCTTCATTATGGTGGTACTCTTTACCTTTTGGTATGTTTTTGGAATGGCTGATACTGGTTGTTCCTTTCTATGTGTAGTGCTTCTTTTAGAAGCTCTTGTAAAGCAGGCCTGGTGGTGATGAAGTCTCTGAGTACTTGTTTGTTCACAAAGAATTTTATTTTTCCTTCACTTATGAAGCTTAGTTTGGCTGGATATGAAATTCTGGATTGAAAATTCTTTTCTTTAAGGATGTTGAATATTGGCCCCCACTCTCTTCTGGCTTGTAGGGTTTCTGCTAAGAGATCTGCTGTAAGTCTGATAGGCTTCCCTTTGTGGGTAACCTGACCTTTCTCTCTGGCTGCCCTTAGTATTTTCTCCTTCATTTCAACCATGGTGAATCTAATGATTATGTGCCTTGGGGTTGCTCTTCTTGAGGAATATCTTTGTGGTGTTCTCCATATTACCTGGAGTTGAATATTGTCTCGCCTTGCTAGGTTGGGAAAGTTTTCCTGGATAATATCCTGAAGAATATTTTCCAGCTTGGATTCATTCTCTTTGTCACATTCAGGTACACCTATCAAACATAGATTAGGTCTTTTCACATAGTCCCATATTTCTTGGAGACTTTGCTCATTCCTTTTTACCCTTTTTTCTCTAATCTTGCCTTCTCGTTTTATTTCATTGAGTTGGTCTTCAACCTCAGATATCCTTTCTTCTGCTTGATCAATTCAACTGTTAAAACTTGTGCATCCTTCAACTGTTAAAACTTGTGAAGTTCTCATATTGTGTTTTCCAGCTCCATTAATTCACTTATATTCGTCTCTAAATTGTCTATTCTCATTAGCATTTCGTCAAACATTTTTTCAAGGTTCTTAGTTTCTTTGCATTGGGTTAGAACATGTTCTTTTAGCTCACAGAAGTTACTTATTATCCACCTTCTGAAGCCTGATTCTGTCGATTCGTCACACTCATTCTCCATCAGGCTTGTTCCCTTGCTGATGAGGAGCTGTGATCCCCTGTAGCAGGGGAGGCATTCTGATTTCGGGTGTTTTCAGCCTTTTTGTGCTGGTTTCTTCCCATCTTTGCAGATGTATCCACCTGTCATCTTTGTAATTGCTGACTTTCAGATTGGGTCTCTGAGTGGACGTCCAGCTTATTGGTGATTAATTTTTTTTTGTTTCTTAGTTTTCCTTCGGCAGATGCCCCTCCCCCACAGAGCTGGATCTTCCCGAGTTCAGCTGTGCTTGCTGTGAAACACTCAATCCTCAGCCTTTCCAATTGCTGTTTTTTTGTGGGGGTGGGACCAGCTGAGCCTGATCACCTGGCTCCCTGTCTCAGAGCCTTTTTGTTGTTGTTGTTCAATGGTCGATTCTCTCCCATGTGTTCCAGTTGCCTGTTGAAAGGGTGCTGGAATCTGTGCAATTTCCCCTGCGGCGACCCACTGTGCCGGCTGAAACAGCGGCGTTGAGATTCGTGGTGCTTTTTTGCCTGGGAATCTCCCAGTCTGGCTCCCCACTTCAGTCCCCTTTTCAATCAGTTGAATGGGCAACTGCCTTCCCGGAGCTCCAAATGCCAATTAAAAGGGCACCCAGTCCCGTATACTCTGCACTGAGAACTGGAGCACCGGCAAAACAGCCGCGCCAGCCAAAAGAGTCACACTGGCGACCTGCGGGGCTCCTCCACTGGGAATCTCCTGGTCCGTGGGCAACAAAAATTTGTCTGGGAGTATGGCGTCCACTCACTCTCCGTGCTTTCACTGGGAGCTGCAATCCTGAGCTGCTGCTAATTGGCCATCTTCTGTCCAAAGCTTTCTATTTATGATAAAGCATTGACAGTCCTGGTCTCTACAAATGGATTCGCATAGCTGTAAGCCTTTTAATTCGGGGAGAAATAAATCAGGCCAAAGGTGACTTGCACCCCTGGGCATATATTATATATACTTCTTTCTCATTCATCTTTGCAAATGATAAAAGCCCTGAGTCAGTCCACTATTGCCAGGCATTAAAGCTGATTAGAGCCATAATCCTACCTGTCACTACTTCTGTATTGGGAAGGTTCTCTCTGGATGAACTACTGTGTGTGTGTGTGTGTGTGTGTGTGTGTCCTATGGAGAGGTTTCAGGGCTTCCTCATCAAAATGCAAAATTTAGGTTTCTGAAAAGGAATCTCCGATACAAAACTACATTGGAGTCACTATTCTAAGTCCTCAAAAAATTTTTAGGCCTCTTTGAGCATCCTTCTAGATTCTTCCCAGATTCTCAGCATGAATGAGACAGAATTTAAGGGGCACTAAGAAACTCAGCAATCAGGATTTGTGACACTTTAGTAAAATATTCTAAAACTAATGAAAAAAATTCAAGATGAATAAATACCAAGATTTTAAATAAAGACAAGTTCAGTAAGCTAAAGTTAATTAAAATTATTTAAGATTGTTACTTGGTCAAGAAAAATGTGAGCCATGGCAATTCTCTCAAAACAAGAGAAGAAAGAAGTAGATTTGAAAACATGACTGATCAGTTTACTTAAGAGTAAACTTATATTAAATTCCATCTTGGCATAAATATTTAAACTTAAAACAATGTTGTGAATTTTAATATACCTGTAGTGTGACGGGTCTTCCCTGGGCTACTAAAGAGTGTATGTCCACTGCCTGAATCCTGAAGGCCAGGCCATGTGCCAAGGCCATGGTGTCTGACAAGCCAAATATCCCAGAGAATATCTGAGAACCTGCCAAAGAAAACAGTTCCATCACAAACACACAGCAGGCAAACAGCCAGAAAATTAGTTTACAAGTATCTTAGGGATGAGAGGCCAGGTGGATCTCTACAGCTGTCCTGTTGCCTTCTGGGAGTGCCTCATATGTAAATCCTGATAAACTCATCTACTGGCCAAGCTGGACTTGTCTGGGTCATTCTTTGGTTTCTCGGCTTCCTCTCGGTTTGGGGGAAGGGTTTTATGAATACAATTCTGTTTTTTTTTTGTTATATCTACTTTAAAAATTTTATTTTCAACACTTCAACTACTTTAATGTTCTGGAAATATATGTGTATATATATTGATATGTATATACTATTATATATATTGATGTATAGATATGTATTTATGTATATAATATATATATATATATTTTTTTGAGGAAGGGTCTCACTCTGTTGCACAGGCTTGAGTGTAGTGGTGTGATCATGGTTCACTGAAGGCTCAACCTCCCAGGTTCAAGCTATCCTCCCACTTCAGCCTCCCTAGTAGCTGGGGCTACAAGCAGATACCACTATACACAGATAATTTTTTAATCTTTTGTAGAGACAGGGTTTCACCATGTTCCCCAAGCCAGTTTTGAACTCCTGGGATCAAGTGATCCACCTACCTCAACCTCCCAAAGTGCTGGGATTACAGACGTGAGCTACTACTGGACCTGGCCAAAATTTTTTTAATTAAAATTTTTTTTGGTCTTTTTAAATTTTGTGGGTACAAAGTAGGTGTATATGTATTTATGGGGTGCATGAGATGTCTTGATACAGGCCTGCAACATGAATTAAGCACATCATGGGGGATGGGGTATCTATCGTCTTAAGTATTTTATTGTTTGAGTTACACGCAACCCAATGACACTCAAGCTATTTTAAAATGTACAATTAAGTAATTATTGACTGTAGTCTCCCTATTGTGCCATAAAAAGTAGTAGGTCTTCGCATGTTCTCACTCACAGGTGGGTGTTGAACAATGAGAACACGCGGACACAGGGAAGGGAGCATCACACACTGGGGTCTGTTGTGGGGGACTAGGGGAGAGACAGTGGTGGGTAGGGAGGTTGGGGAGGGATAACATGGGGAGAAATGCCAGATATAGGTTATGGGGAGATGGAGGTGGCAAACCATATTGTCATGTAGGTACCTATGCAACAATCCTGCATGTTCTGCATGTGTACCCCAGAACCTAAAGTGCAATAAACTATATATATAAACAAACGAACAAAATAGCAGGTCTTATTTATTCTGTCTTTTGTACCCACTAACCATCCCCACCTTCCCTCCAGCCCCCCAGTAACCTTCCTAGCCCCAATTAAAAAAAAAATAGAGAAACACTTACACATAGGGGTGCACATTATTCCTTGTGCCTCAGGCTCCAATATGGTTTGGATCCTGTGTTCAGTTACAATGTTAATACAGTCATGCACTGCATAACGATGTTTTGGAAAAAGACTGCATTTACAACAGTGCATATACAACAGTGGTCCCATAAGATTACAATAGAGTTGAAAAATTCCTATTGTCTAGTGACATCGTACCTGCTAAAACATCAGAATGCAATGTATTACTCGTGTTACTTGATAATAATGACTATGTCACTGGTTTATGTATTCACTATACTTTTTATTATTATTTAACTTATGTTAAAAGAGTTAACTGTAAAACAGCCTCAAGCAGGTCCTTCAGGAGGGATTCCAGAAGAAGGCATTGTTATCATAGGAGATGACGGCTCCCTGTGTGTCACTGCCCCTGAAGACCTTCCAGTGGGACAAGATGTGGAGGTGGAAGGCTGAGACTGATCATAATGACCCTTTGTAGGCTTAGGCTAATGTGTGTGTTTATGTCTTAGTTTTTAAAAAAACGCTGAAAAGGAAAACAAAAAGCAAAGGTAGAAAAAAACTTGTAAAATAAGGATATAAGAAAAATACTTTTGTACAGTGGTACAGTGTCTGTTTTAAGCTAATTGTTATTATGAAACAGTTAAAGCATAACAAATATTAAAAGATATGGCTGGGTGCAGTGGCTCCTGCCTGTAATCCCAGCGTGAGCGAGGTACGAATCACCTGAGGTCAGGAGTTCGAGACCAGCCTGACCAACAGGAAGAAACCCCATCTCTACTAAAAAATACAAAATTAGCTGGGCGTGGTGGCGCATGCCTGTAATCCCAGCTACTTGGAGGCTGAGGCAGGAGAATCACTTGAACCCGGGAGGCTGGGGTTGCAGTGAGCCGAGCGCCATTGCACTCCAGCCTGGGCAACAAGCATGAAACTTCATCTAAAAAATTTTTTTTGAAAAGATGTATAAAGTTATAGTAAGCTAAAGTTATTATTGAAGGAAGAAAAATATTTTTTATAATGTTAGTATAGCCTAAGTGTACAGTGTTTATGAAGTGTATGGTGGGGTACAATAATGTCCTAGGCCTTCACGTTCAGTCACCACTCACTCACCCACAGCAACTTCCAGTTCTGCAAGCCCCATTCATGCTAAGTGCCCCATACGGGTGTACCATTTTTATTCTTTATACTGTATTTGTACTGTACATTTTCCATGTGTACGTATGTTTAGACACACAAATACTTACCATGTATTACAATGGTCTGCTATTCAGTACAGTCCAATGCTGTTCAGGTTTGCAGCCTGGAAGCAACAGGCCACACCACACAGCCTAGGTGTGTAGCAGGCCTTACCATCTACGTTGTGAAAGTACATTCTATGGTGTGCACGCAGCAACAAAATCGCCTAATAACGCATTCCTCAGACCTTTCCCTGTTGTTAAGCTACACATGACTCTTATTTTGTTCCTCCTGGATTTCTTGCATTAATCTTTATGTTTTAAAATATTACATTCAAATATTATTTGATTACCAGTTTTTCTGGTGTTCCCTTAAATTTCACAATCTGTCAGCCCTTCCCTGGCTCCCCTTTTTCTGCTTTTATAGTGCTTTAACAGACCTGGGAAATTTTCTCCCTCCCTCCCTCCTTCCTTCTTTCCTTCCTTCTTCCCTTCCTTCACATTTCTCTCTCTTTCCTTCCCTCCTTCCTCCTTCCCTTCCTTCACATTTCTCTCTCCTTCCTTTCCTCCTTCCTTCCTCCCTCCCTCCCTTCCATTTCTCTCTCCTTCCTTTCCTCCTTCCTTCCTCCCTCCCTCCCTCCACATTTCTCTCCTTCCCTCCCTCCCTCACTCTCTCCTTCCTCCCTCCCTCCCTTCCTTCACATTTCTCTCTCCTTCCTTCCCTTCCTTCCTCCCTCCCTCCCTTCCTTCACATTTCTCTCTCCTTCCTTCCCTTCCTTCCTCCCTCCCTCCCTTCCTTCGCATTTCTCTCTCCTTCCTTCCCTTCTTCCTTCCTTCTTCCTCCCTCCCTTCCTTTATTCCTTTTTTTTTTTTTTTTTTAGACAGAGTCTCACTCTGTTGCCCAGGTTGGAGTGCAGAGGCGCGATCTGGGCTCACTGCAGCCTGGACCTCCCGGGCTCAGGTGATCCCCCCACCTCAGTATTCTGAGTAGCCTGGACCACCGGCACGCGCCACCATGCCCAGCTAATTTTTATATTTTTTGGAGAGACAGGCCGCACTTTGTCGACTAGGCCTGTCATCAATCTTTTTGCTTTTTTCCCCCCAGGCAGAGCTATTCTGTTTTGCCGATCTCGCCCCCTCCCGGGCCAGGTTAGGAACCTCATCACGTAATTTCATTTCATTCGAAACTTGAAACTTTCCAAATTCACCACTTGGCGGCGTTGATCCATCCTCTCCCGCCCAAAGAGAAGCTCGCGGAACTTCAGAGTTAAGGGGAGGCGTTTCCCACAGACCTGGCCGGCAGTATTTCCAAGGCGCACGTTGCGGAGTTTGTTTCCTTTTTCCTCTCGCGAGCTTCGCGTTCCCTGTGCCTCGGAAGTGATCCCCTGACTAGCTGGGCTGGCCGGGTTAGAGCGTCAGGTGAGGGAGGCAGGGAGGGCAGGCATGAAAGAAGTGCTGGAGCTGTGTGTTTTGGCTGCGCGCGATCCTCCGTGGATCGGGAGGTGGTGCTGTGTGGGTGTCTGGCCCTTTCCTTCTCAGTTGTGCGGAGGACACCGTGGTTTCCTCCCAGTTCTCGGTTTTCAGGTGGTGGCGCCACCTCCAGGAAAGGGCGTCAGCCTCTCCGGACAGTGTGGCTGGGTAGCCCGTGGGTTTCTACGCTGCTTGGTCTTTGTTAACGGAGATGAAGGCAGTAATTTTTCAGCAACAAGTTTCAGATATAAGTCCCTTGGTGACGCTAATATTTATTGAGCCCCCACTATGCGTTAAGAACTTTTTTTTTAGAAGTTTAGAAAAGGGCAGTGAATAAAGCAGATAAAAATCTCTGCCCTAAGGGAGCTTGCATTGGAATGAAATTTGAGAAGACAGTGGATTGGAATTGGGATTAACTCAGAATCAAAATTGTGTTTATGGGTTGGAGAAAGAGGAAGTTATTTGGGACCAAAAAGACGTAACAGGTGTGAGTGTATTTGGGAGGGAGGAAGGAATTCTCACCAGGTGTGCCGGAATGTTGGTGTGTTGTGGTCGCAGAATTGCTTTTGCCATAAGATGTAATGTTTCTTCTCTCTTTTTTTTTTTTATTCCTTCAGGAACAGCCTAAAGATTAGACTGTAAGAAAAGAAAATAGCCATGTTTCGAAGACCTGTATTACAGGTAGTCACTTGTCTGTATTAGTATTGAGATGTATTACTGTCAGACACAGTGATCAGACATCTTTAGGCTTTTAGCTACATGGGCAAAAGACCTGGGAGCTCACCCACCCACCTCTGTATTCGTTTGATATGGAGGACTGGTGATGGAATTTTCCAGTATAAATTATGCTCAGTAAAAAAAAAAAGTTGAGGTTTATTCACATAATGTAATAGGAATCATTAATTTTAAAATGTGTGTTGCTTGAATTTGACCAGTGATAGGAGATTAAAGATCTTTAGTGACCTAAGGACTGCAGGAATCATCGTTCCAACTTTTTTCTTAAGGCATGTAGTTGCTTTTTTGACCATCTCCCTCCTCTGTTGCGAAACGTTCCTCTTCCCCCATCTTTCCACGCTAAAGAGAGCAGCTCACATCTCAGTGGTCACCACAGATTTCACTATGTAGAAAATTCCTTCTCATTCCACTTAATCTGGCTCCTCACTTTTCCAGTCACTCTAGCCCACCTTGAGCCAGCTTAGACTACCATTTTTCCTCAACACATTTGGGCACCAAATTCTTAATCATACTTCTCTCCTACTCCCTATCCTTCTGTGAAGACCATTGAAAAATCAGTTCCTCCATGATGCTATCATTTTCCCCACCATAATCTTATATTCTTGGATCCCCTCTTTAACCTATATGTATCTTTAATCTAATTTTTCTGTATTGAAATGTGAAACATGAAAAAGTTATTATTTTTCAATAACACTAATGTTACAGTATTAAATGTCTTTGAATAAAAGTCAAAAGTTTAATTAAAAAAATTATCCAAATAATTCTTTCCTAATCTTCTCCAGGTCTTGATTTTTGTGTGCCCAAAATGAGACATTGTTATTGTGTAAGATTTATGAGGTCTAGCTTGTCTGAGCACTCAAATGAGTACATTCCCAGAATCATGACACAGGTTCTAGTTAGCAGTTTGATTCTATAGAATGTTGTACTCATATCTTTATCTTCTTATCAACCCTCTGCCCCTGAGTTTAGTGATAGAATTAAATAGCCAGCAGTACCCAGGGAGTTGGTGTTTGTTTGATTGGTAGACTTGTGCTTTTTGTATTAACAGTATTGCCACTTTGAAAATGTTTATCTGATAGAATGGCTAGCTCTCTGAACTCTGAAATCAGTGATGTGTACTCCTATCTTTACAGTAGCTCTTGAAATTAAGGAGGCAGCAGAGGGCTTTGGGAAAGCAGTAACTGGTGTCAGAGGGCCCTGGGTCCTTGAGAGCACTTGCCACCTACTTCCTGCAGGATCTTGGGCAGGTTCTGCAGTCTCTCTGAGGTTGTTTTCTCAGCTCTAAATGGGGATAATTTTACATTTAGTTTTAGAATTGATAATAGATAAATTTCTTAGCTGATATTCGGTAATGATTGTTGCTATTACGTGGCAGTGACTCCCTTTTCTGACGATGATAGGACTTTGACTTGGACAGTCGAATCTTTGTGTTTAAGCAAAGAACCAAATTTATTAGACCTTTTTTTGATGCACTGAAGGAATGAAATTTCCCATGAAATATTTATAGAAACTGTATTAGGCTAAGTTCACTACAGAAGCTGTTTAATTTTTGAAACAGCCTTATGAAGTAGATATTGACTATCATAGTTTTTGCTTATTTTGAAATGAAACACTTTAGGTTAATCATTTTTGATGTATCCTAATTCCCTTAAAGTTCTGAAGGAGCAACCAGGGGAAGGCAGTTTCATAGACACAGGGAGTCTGATTTTGGAATATGTTCCTGTTCCTGTGTCAGAAAGTCATTCATGTGATTAGTTTAAGAATGTATTGTTTTGTTGGAATTTAACCTATTTTTCATTCTCTAAACCAGCAGTCCCCAACCTTTTAGGCACCAAGGACTGGTCTCATGGAAGACAGTTTTTCCTTGGAGCAGGAGGGTGCTGCAAGGATGGTTTCAGGATGAAACCATTCCACCTCAGAGCATCAGGCATTAGTTAGATTCTCATAAGGAGCACACAGCCTAGATCCCTAGCGTGTGCAGTTCATGATGGGGTTTGCACTCCATGGGAATCTAATGCCGCTGCTGATCTGACAGGAGACAGCTCAGTCAGTAATGCTTGCCGCTCATTTCCTGCTTTGCAGCCCAGTTCCTAAAAGGCCACAGACCTCTACAAGTCCTCGGCCCTGGAGGTGAGGGACCCCACTCTAAACTAGCTGTTCATTATGGCTGAGAGTGAGGCTTCAGTAATGACATTTTATTCATTCCATACCTCCTGACACCTGTTAGATTATTGCATATGTTATTAATCTGTTTATTAAATTATTAATTATAAAACATCTCTTTTTAAGTCTCCTTTGGTTTAATGATGGATCAAATCAGTACCCATATTGTATCTAAATTTCTTAATTTCTAAAGTCTACTATAACCAAAATATAGTAATAATATACCAGTTGTTTATACTAAAACAAAAAAAAAAAGGATTAGAGGATGTATATATTGGATATGTATAGTACATTTTGTCTCTCCAGCTAGTGAAAGCTGGATTCTGAAAATACTTGGCAGCAACTCTTAGGTACAGGTTCGATTAAAAACATTTTCATACTCTGTAATGTTAAAGTGCTAATCTTTTGATTTTTACTTCTGTGTGTGAACACAGAAGTGCCATAATCAGGAATATTGTTGCAAAAGAAATGGGAGGACTATAAATTAACTCTTGAGCATGCCTTCTAGTACCTTCCTTGTACCTTTGGACTTCTGCAGTATGCTGCTCTTGAAGTGTTTGCCTCGTCTTTGGGCACTCTGTTGGGAGAACATGGGAAGAGCTTCTCGTCTCTTCTGGAATTTATAGGAACTACTGACTAAATGGTGAATGAATGTGAGTAATTCTTCTGTTGGCATTTGCCTTAACTAAAATATTAAAGCCGTGCTATTCATTTGTTCTTCTTTAGGTACTTCATCAGTTTGTAAGACATGCATCCGAAACAGCTGCCAGTTTGGTTCTTGAAAGATGTGAGTAGCTAATTTCCAAGTTTAAAATGTTGTTTTTAGCAATTTGCTGATCTCAGTTGTGCTGTAGAAGAGGTATGCTGGTCTGGTTTAACCATGTTATTGTGCTTTTAGCTCACATTTGCTCTTCAGATCTTGGTTGTGACCCATCAGGCTGTGGACACATAGTATAAACTGAGCCCCTATTCTTCTTATCAGCCAGTGACTACTCATTCTCATCATCACTGTCCTGCATAAGAATTTCCTGAGTCACACTTGGTTATCTGAGTCTTCCCAGGTTATGTTATTGCAGGCTGAGAT